ATTATTATTATTATTATTATTATTATTATTATTATTATTATTATTATTATTATTATTTTGCTGTATCATCAAAAGTGTGTTTGGAAGGAGCAGTCCATCCTGATGGTTACTGTTTCTCAAACTATCAAGATAATAACCAAGATTATTTTAAAAATAAAAACAACCTTAAAGAAAACAGTGGACGCACACTAACTGTCAGCCAACCTACAGAAAAATGGACTTCTATAACATATTCTATAAATATGTTTGATGAAAAATGAGGACTTTGGTCATAGTGGTCCAACAAAGATAAATTGGCATTTTAGTCTTTTTCTGACTTCTGTGCCTATTGGGTTTTGTGAGTAGAATGCTGGTTTATTTATTAATTCTAAGGATTATAGACTGCTCCAGTTATAACCAATTCTAAATGACTTATATGTCCTATTTATGTATGTAAGGTTTAAAAGTGAGCAGTCTAAAATACAAATATTATGGGGAAAATACCAGACAAAAATATTTATTACCTTTCGGATTACAGATTATTCTTATATGAATATTAGTACATATAGCTGGAAAAAAGGTATTGCTACTTTACTGTATTTTGCATGAACAAGACAAACTTTTACAACAGCAAAAAACCCCAAAAATCCAAAACAAAGTCATATTATACTGCAGAAGAGTCCATAAAAAACCAAAATGTAGTTCTAAATACTTATTGAAATTTAATTTTAACAGGACAAAAAAACAAAAAAAAAAAACAAGATGAAAACTCTCAATGAAGTTCAGTAATCCACCAAAATAGTACAATCATGGGTTAGGGTTAGGGCATTTTCAACCTCTTCAGAATTAGCAAAACTCTAAAGCACACACTGTGCCATTACCTGTCTTCATTTATCCAGTTAACTGTTTTCTTTTGCAACCTATGGGCCTATCTACATATTAAAATAGAACATCACATTAAATTAGCATTCATGATGCAACTGGTATCATGGACCCTAATGTATCCATAACAAAGTATTTTAAAAACAGCAGGTATTTATTTATATATCTGTAGGTAGGCTCCTTGGAACAACAGAAACAAGAGAGCAGACCCCACAAAGGACATAATACAAATCCATAATAATTGTGAATAAATTTAATATCCCAGCCTACAAATTACACCACCTTATGTATTACTCCATCCAATCTATGCCAATAGCAACAGGAACATAATAGCAATAGCAGTAGCAGTTAGACTTATATACCGCTTAATAGGGCTTTCAGCCCTCTCTAAGCGGTTTACAGAGTCAGCATATTGCCCCCAACAACAATCCGGGTCCTCATAATATATAACACAACATGTAACATGAGAGAAGAGATAAATATACACTCAAATCTTCATTATAGGTCCTGCATGGGGCCTCTTATTTACAATAAATTAGACAAGAAATAAAAAATAGAAGGTAAATCAAAGATATTGGACAACCATTTATCTAAAATGATATAGGGTTTCCTGCTTGAGTAGGGGATTGGACTAGAAGACCTCAAAGGTCCCTTCCAACTCTTTATTCTGTTATTCTTAAATTGACGATGTTCTGTTTGGTGGTAGCCAAGCTACTCTTACCTTGTTAACATTCTTGCTTCAACATATAGCACAACTTCCAGTGGAGCTTAGCTGATACTATGGAATTATTCCTATGGAATTTCAGAAGCAGTTGGTATCTGTATAGCTTTAGACGAAGTATAAATGTGTTGTTTCAGTTCAACTTGTGGGACAGAATCTGATTTGAGGTCTTTATATCTGTTATTTTACATTTCCTTGATGTACTTTATGTTCTGCTTCGGGCTCTGATAGGTACTTGTAACCGTGCTTCAATAAAACTGCATTTTGTATTTTATATATTCCATATTGCTTTGATCTTATTAAAGTTTGCTCCTTTCTTCAGAAAAAGACAGGTTGATCATGATATATTTCTACTCAGGACTGAAAAAAACTTACCGGTAGAGTACCAGGAAGAGAAGCATCCAAGAATGATACTAGAGAATTAGGTGGAGCTGCAAACTGGACTTGAGAACCAGAAAAAAGCTTCGAGTTGGATGAAATCTGTGCATGGATTTCCAAGCCTACAACTGCTGCCCAGGAAATATCACTAAAAGAAAGCCAGCCAACATGTATAATCAGTAATTAGATAAATGCAATTAAAAATTTAAAACACTTGGGAAAGTGGAAAGAAAATCAAGCACAATTAATACTGGAACAAAATGACAGGACATTAAAAGAAACTCAAATTCTGAACAGCTTAAATAAATTAAAAACTGAAAGGTTTCTCAAAAAAAGCCCAAATACCTTTCCAAAGGGTCACTTTCATTGAGAAAGTGTCAAAAATTATCATTTGAAAAAAGATGGAACAAAATCTACATAGCCACTAGAAGTAACTGCACTTCATGCACCTGTATTTTGATGACTGAGAGAATGAGTAATTTTGCAGTAAATGCTTTACAGAAGCTGAAAGCAATGATTTGGACTTAAACAATGACATAAACAAATACATTTAATTAGTGAAGACAATCTTATGCCATTGCAATGATAACAGCACTAAAATCAATACCCGAGATCCATAAAAGAATTATATAGATAGATACAAGCTTTCTTTTCTTTTGAAGATGATAATTTAGGTTTCTGTATTTCTCTGAAGTGCAATAATTGAAACCATGAAGAGGGGCTGCCAATATAATCATATTTATTAATAAAAGTGGACATTTTCAGATTTTTTCAGTATTTGTGTAAATTCCTGATTATCTCATATGCAGGAACCAATACAGTATATTGATTAAAATGTTGGACTCATGTTTTTTATATGTACATCCAAGCTATACTCTAAAGTTGTTACATAGAATAGAATAGAATGGAATAGAATAGAAGAGTTGGAAGGGACCTTAGAGATCTTCTAATCCAACCCACTGCTCACGCAGGAAAAACTATGCCATTTTAGACAAACAGCTGTCCAATCTCTTAAAAATTTCCATGGTTGGAACATTCATAACTTCTGGAGGCAAGTTGTTCCACTATACTATACTACTATACCAATGATTAATTGTTCTGTCAGGAAATTTCTCCCTAGTTCTAGGTTGTTTCTCTCCTTGATTACTTTCCATCCATTGCTACATAATATCTGTCCATACAGTGTGTTCAAAATGTACTTGAGACCAGGAGATATTTATTTAAAAGCACATTGAAGCATGTATTTTAAGTCAGTGCCAATTTAGAAAACAATTTAGAATAGATTTTTTCTCTCTTTGCATTATCATTGTAAGGTAAATGGGGCTTCCCAAATGGGTATCCTGTATAAATATTTGCTGTGTGATCTTGTAATTTTTAAATCCACATTGAGTTTAAAAACTGTTGCTATGCTAACTATTGGAAAGAAAAACCTTCATATATGAATATTAATAACATCATTTAATTTTTAAAAAAATAGAAATCTGCTTACAAGATGGTGTGTGTTACAGTCTCATACAATAATGCAAACTATTTATAAATGCATCAATGGTATCCATAGTAAATGTTTTTCCTTCTCCATGCTGCAAGGGAAGAGTGCTAGTTGTGAAGCAGCCCACGAATTTATGCAGCAAAACAGCATCACATTAAGATCTGCCAGCAGGTAAAGATAAGAGTTTGAATTCTATACTTTAACTACATCTTCAGTTCTATTTCAAATTGGAGAAAAAATACCTTTTTTCCCTTATCCTTTAGTGCTTTAGTTTATTACATTTTCATCCAATACACTAGTACTAAAATTAATCAGCATTCTACATAGAAGGACATTTGAAATCTTGCGAGATTCCTTTCGCGTTTCAATCCGTACTAGCAAGCCACTAGAAGAGCGGAAACGCGAAACGCGAGGAAAGTTTTTGTTTTTTTTTAATCAGCCAAGAGCCACAAACTGGAATATCCACAGTCATACCGTTTCTCTTTCGTTGTAATCCCTTTTGAATTCGAGCAGAGAACGCTGGTGGATACCGGTCTCTTCCAATCTCCAAGTACGGTGTCATTCGCAAAGCTAACTTTGCCAGCTCGAAGCCAAGCGCGGTACCGTCGCATCATGGGGGCCGCCATTTTGTTCGGCGCTGGGGAAACATCAGGTGATCTCGTTCTTATAGCAAGTCCTCTTGGGAAATGCAGTCCTGGGCTTGCTTAGAGAAAAGGGGATGGCGAGAGGAACGAAAGCCTTCAGTTCCCGTGATGCTCCATCACTGAGCTGCTCCACTCAAACTGGGAGACTAGTAGGGAAAAGCGAGCAAGAGCTGCAGGACTTTTATGCGAGTTAGATGGAAATGAGTCAGTGATTCGCGTTCATTGAATGGGCAGAAGAGCATTAGATGCCTATGGGTAAAAATTAAAAAGAGCTGGAGAAGACGTTGTTCTTGGTGCTCAGGCAGTCATATAGTGGCAGTTGTTTAATAAATATTAACTAAACAAATAGCATGCCTGTAATTAATGGCTGCTTTCCTTAGAAAAATGGAAAATTCTGTTGTTTATTATCAATTCCATTCTCTCGTAATGGATAATCCCTCGGCATTAGGACTGAGGCTATTCACGCTAGTTTATAAAACAGTGTGCACCCAAAGAATTGAAGGCCAAGTCATTGTTTGTTAAAATGTTACTAGATTATATATTTTATAAGTCTATAAGTCTTTTATTATATGGCAGCAGTGATGTTTTAATAGATATTTCCTATTAGGAAAAAGCATTCTTTTATTTCCCTATTTGCATAAATAGTTTGCATTTCTATGTAGTTAGATATGGGAACGTCTTAAAGATTAATAGCTTGTCTGCCCTTGAAAAGAAGAACATTGCAGGTTGCGCTACAAGAATTTTTAAGATTCCTCTCGTGGTTAAATGGAAGAATGCTACTGTATAGATATTCTGATACTGCTGTGTTCTTGAGCATTTACCACCTGAATTTATTTCTGACGGCCTTTTAATGAAGTGCAAATAATAGCCATAAGAGATTTCTTCACTTTTGAGCACAGCCATGAGGTCTTATTTGCCCATAAGCAACTGAGTTTGGAGAGTCATACCTTTATGGTAAATTGAACATAGTACAACGGAAGACCCTTAAGAGCTATAGCTCACCCTATAATCCTTCTCCACTGTTTACCAATAAAATTGCAACACAGTCCAGATCAGAACATTCTTAGGCCCTTGGGCTTGGAAGCAAACACTAACTTTATCTCACAAAACACACTAGATAATAAGTCAACTGTAAGGATTTGCATATAGCAAGAGCATTTAGACATACCATTCCATAGTGCTTTACGGCACTCTTTAAGTGGTTTAAAACTGTATTCTGTAATACAGAGCTCATACAACTTCACTGAAATGTTCTTGTCATGCTTGTAGGAGGCTTCTTTGAAAAGATGATGAGTCATGGGCATGTTGAGTCAGCAGCTGAATTTTTATCCAGTAGAGGTCAGTGGAGTACATAAGCCCTCATCAGTATTTCATATCCCTACAGAAATGGAGATTAGCACTGTCAGTTACTTTAGGAAAGATGACAATATTGTATAGAAATTGCCCCTGTTTTCTTTGGGGCAAAATAATTATGACATGGAAACAATAATAAAAGATTTAATATTGATGAAAGCAATGAGCTATGCAATGGAAATAAGATTTATGGAAAACAAGATTGGAAAGGTGAAGCATTTTACATTACAGATGCTGCCTAACCAGTACATGCCAAATTATACTTTTCCATAATGAATGGTGTTCCTGGGTGAGCTGGCAGCTAGATGTAGCAAAATACTTGCTTATGTTTCACTGTTCCATCCAGGTTTAAGCTGATATTTGTTTGTTTCCTCAAATTCTCTCTTTCTGCTCAGGATGAATTTGAACTTCTATAATAGCAATAAAGGAATTGGAGGCAATCCCTCTGTGACACTTCAGGAAGGAATAAAGGCCATTTTAGATCTTAAATCACATGCATTTGCAGAGCTTTGAAAGGTTTATTAGAGTTTCTGGCATTTTTATTATTAACGGTAAAAAAGTTTTGTGCTCCAGCGAAGTGGGAATATCTATATAGGCACCAGGTATCATCCTATCCAATTTATTATTAGGCTGATTATTACAGTAGAAAGGAATATATTGTTCCATTTATTTTTCCTTTTTATTGTGTTCATGAATTTAGCAGCATGTTGTGCAATGAATGTAAAACAGCGATATGTAATTGAATATATGTATATGAATATATTGCTTCTGAATATATACTATTCATTCACAAGCAATCATGTTCACTTCAATTGAATTTGTTCACAAATACATATTACGGTTTAATAGAGCATCCTTATGTTATAAAATGAAAAGCTTCAACTTACTTTTCAAATTGAGCATGGTAACACAACAGCAATAATTCTGAAACTGAATGTTATATAACAGCACAAAACAGGAGGTTATACAGAGAATGAAATAAAAACAAATCATAAAGCTTATCTTTAAAAAGTTCTGCATGGAATCAGTTTTGCTTTTTGCTTAGTCTGAAAAATTGTAAGTTAAGTTCCTGGCACTTTCAAGTGGGGCTCTAAAAATACATGTTGAATCTATGGTATTAAGTGATCATAGTATATTGTCCAGATGGTTCAATATTCTATGTATGATGGGTGGGGAAATTGTGACCCTTCCAAAATTGCTGAACTACAATTCCAAGCATCCCTCCCTTCAGGCTACATTATTGAGACTGCTGGCAGTTGTAATTTGATAGGATCTAGGTTCTAGAGGCTTTAGATTCCTCACTCTTGTGGAATAATTAGACAGTTTGAAATCATTTGTAGAGAATTACACTACAGGTGTACTTTTCAGAAAATATCATCTTTGTATTGCTTTATATCTCGTGAACAATAATAAGGGGAAAACTTTGGGGGAAATGGTTTTCAAATGTTTGGGGACTTATTGTATTTTATAAAGTGTTCTTTTTTCTTTTCTTGAGCTAAGTCACAATTGATTCAGTTACATTATTTCTATTAAGAAATGTGTGAGCATGTGTCAAAATGTCCAGTGTTCTAGAGCTGTAACTTTAATTCTCTACTTGAACTACCTTAAAGAATTTTAAAAAGATAGGTGGTAAAAGCCAGGCTTTCCTGATGTCACTAACTGTTCCTTCTAAAGAATTATCAAACTAGATATTCTAATGCCAAAATATTTTGGTTAATATTTTACAATGGGACTATTGGTGCCATTGATTGTAGTGTAGTCGTAAGAACTACGGATATGTGAACATATAATTATAACTATCAATTGTGAGAATAAAGAAATATAGCCTATTGATATGTTAGATTCAGTAAGTCCTATGGATGATAGAAGGCCTCTGAAAAAAAAAGATATGAACCAAAGTTTTCAGCTAGGATGATTTTAAAATTTACCAGAAATATTTGTAATCCTGCTGAACCGTTGCTAACTGTGAAGTATATTTTTGCAAAATATGCACTTGTATGGATTCATTTAAAACAGGAAGAATTAAACTGTTGGAAATGAGGAATTGACAGTAATTGACACAGGTGTTCACGGAAAGTAACATTGAAGTTGTGAAGCATGTATGTGATTAGAGGAACAGTATAAAAGATAGGGTTCAAGATCAGCTCAGAGCCCTTTGATTTATAGCAGTCCTTGTAGGACTTCTATTTCTCATTGGCCCATTGCAATGCCTTATTAATTCTATTGTAATGCTATTGTATCTTTTATATCTATTCATTTCTAATGTTCCAAATTATTAGAAACAATAAACCTCTAACATCTTAAAGTAAGAATTATTGCTTGTGTGTGCTGGCGATATCTATAGAATTATTAAATACCTGACTTAAAATGTTGTCATACCAGCTGCTATTATTAAAGCTCTTAATTTGCCAGATTGTTAAAATGAGGTTAAATAAAGATACGTATTTGTAACAGGATTATCACTAGAGTTTTGCATAATAAAAGAATAAAAGGTGATAGTCCATTCTAAGAATAGTAAGTAATTTCCAATACTACAGGAGAATTATTATCAAAAAATAGATAAAGGATATAAAATGGAGAAGCGTAGTTGAACAGGATTCAAGTACACAATAGGAAGAGTATGAGATTTTCCATTTAAATTTCATGAAATGTATAAGAGGTAATTTATTTTCTTATAGCATCATGAAGACCTGTACACATGACATTCAAAATACAGATATTCATCATGAGGATTACCTAGAAAATATCCAGAAAGCTTGAGGTATCTGTGAGAAAGTATAAGGAATATACTGGAATTCCTATTAAAATTTTAAGATTTGGGACAGTCAATTCTAGTTTTAGTTAAAATGTCTATGCTATTACATAAAAGAAAAGAGTAGAGTAGAGAGGAATATTAAATGAGAAAACAGGGTTGGCCATTACAGGTTTACATTTACAACAAACATTTTAACAGGAGGAGTGTAGCAGTACCTGGTTTAGACTAATATCAACTCTCTAAAAATAATAAATGTATGTTACCCAATAAGCAGAAATGTGCCTAAGTGGAAAGGAAATGAGAGCCTTTAATGATATTTAGAGGTGTTCTTGTTTGTTTTTTCAAATAGACATTCTTCCTTATTTATGTAAATATCTGTCCATAACAGATAGTACTGTATATATTCAGGTAGTATCACTGTTCATTTAATAAATATCCCCTGATCTCGTATTAACAATTACCTTTGAATGATAACTTTTGAAGAGCTCTTGGCAGTGGTGGGTTTCCATTTATTTTACTACCGGTTTGCTCATGCCCCCGCATGCACAGAAGTGTCCGGGCGGGTGGGCGGAGCCTCCTGCCACCGCTATTACTGGTTCGCCCGATCTGGGCTGAACCGGCAAAAACTCATCTCTGACTCTTGGAGCCAGATCTAAGATTGTGATGAGTCACATGTGGCTTGGGGCCTCAGATTACACACCCATGATATTGGAATGCTTCTGAAATGAATTAAGTATCTAACCAAATTGCCAGTTGAACATTTCTAATTAATCAAATATCCAATTCCTTTCTAGTCTCTTGAAATGGATGTTAACTCAATCTGAATTTATTCGGTGAATGACTGAATAAATGACTGTTTCCTTCATCAAGACATTCATATGAGT